TTTTTTTTTTGGATTAGGCACGCTATATCGAGGTTTTTGAAGAATTTTTTTAAAAAAACCGATTGTTCCCAATATTTCTTTATTGTTTTCCATTGTCGTTCTATTATTTTCCTTTTATTATCACGTTTTTTTTGGCATCAAATTACTCTCATACTTCCACTCATTTTTTCCCAAAGTTCTTCAGATCGAGGCTTTTTTAAGTTTTTAACGAAAGGGAGCTGTTGAAGTGTCTTTGAATTATTCAAAAGTTAATTACGTAAAGGCATTTTCGGTTACAGTTTTCAATATGTTATATAATGCTCGCTGGCAAGTGTTTAAACTCCCGAAAAAACGGTTTTTTATTCAAAAAAAAGAACTCTGTAATATAGTCTCGTGTTGCAGTTTTCAAACGAATCCAAGAGCACTTATTTGAAAAGAGTTTAGCTTACTCTATCATTCGATGTCTTATCTGATCCCTGTTTTTGAAATACTGTTATTCTGAAACAGTGTCTTTTTACTCTTCATGACAACTATTAAACTTTTACGTCCTTGTTTTTGTATTTTTTTACTCAAAAGTCAGGGGGATATTACTTTAGGTAATAGCAGGAAATACTGATACACAGTCGGCAGTACTTCGAGCACTGGATGGTGGAATTGTAGCACGTAATATTCGTGTCATTCCCGTTTCGGAGTTAACGAGAACTGTCTGCATGCGCGTCGAACTTTACGGATGTTCGTATAAAGGTCCTGAAAATTTTCTTTTCAGAAATTTAAAATAGAAATCCTCATGCCCAGCTCTAAAAGACGGATCGTAGATTAGCAAAAAAATGTCAGAGAGCTGGTGGTGATCATTCACTTTACTAAGCTATACGGTGAACAGGTGCTTTGAAAATCCACTGGAGTAATGTTTGCAGGCATTTGGAATAAAAAGTGACTTATGGCGATAACAGTAGGCAGGTGCAAAGATGATGGGTTAAAACTAAATAAGGTTTATTGCATAAAAAATTCATAAAAGTATTATACTGCACAGTAAAGAGTAGGAGAAAGTAAGTGAAACGGAATATTTCTGGTCCATACATGGTGGCCGCAAAACTTTTATGTCGTGAAATAATAGAATCTCGATCAACTAAGCGAAAATCTCGATCAAAATTTGAAAAGCGCAAGACGGGCAGTTATAAAAGAGCTGTAAAGTGCTGCTGCGTGCACAAAACCCTGATTTCATTTTGCGGGAAATCAAACAAAAACTTAATTATGAATAGGGAGAAGGTTGAATAAGGAAAGCTTAGTTCCATTCTTAGATCATTTTCAGATCAGCTTGTTTCCTATGCAATACCGCAAGGAGACTCGTTGGACGGCCTTGATCTTCAAGACAGCTCATACGACGGATATTTCAATTCATCTCGGTATTTGGTAAATGGCCTTGGCAAACTGTATGACGGTGTAACCGGTGAAGATAATTTCGAAAAGCATCCGGAGCAGTGGATAGGCTGGAGAAGCGAACGGCATGGTTCGTTTCCTTTTGCAACTGTACATATCGATTCAAAGTGCGAAGTTGGACTGCATGCAAAAAATTTTGTATAGTTGGCTACCTTAGGCATTCTTTTGTTTAGGATGGTGCATGGAAATCGTTAAACTAAGATTCAGGAATAATATTCAATGTTTATTAATTTACGATAATATTATGAATATTCTTTTAAAAAAAGCAGATGGGCGTAGCGCAACAGGAAGCGTTACTTTGCAGGATTTCAAGAGTTCACTCCACCGGGAGGATAAAAATTACTTCTACAGTCTTGATCACCTACTGGATAGTAAATGATTACTGACATGTGCCAAGGGACAAACTCACCATTAACTTGCTTGTAAGTAACTTTCCAGAGAAGTGCTCATTGGCAGCCTTGCCAGTGGTAGCATTTGCTAATGTTCGGACTAATTCCTGGATGTCTCCGTCTCCCAAAAAAAGCGAAGGATGATTTACGAAGATTAGCAACTGGTTGTAAAGTGAAATACATTGCAGTCTTTTATCTGGTGGGAAAAGTGTAGAGTGCGAGAGGGGAGTGGAGGGAATGCCGCAAACGGAGTCTTTTCTCGAAAATTGTTTTGGACTGGCAAGGGGACTGGCGGGAAGAATGGGAGGAGGGAGGGAAGGAGGGCGAGGAGAGAATCGAACCAAACCACTCCTCCTCACATCGGAGTGCAGCATGTTACCACTACGCCACTGGTCCTTGTGCTCCAGCATCCACTGTGCATCTATCTGCATTTCAAAGCAAAATACACCTTTCTTTTCTACCTCCGATAGGCAGTTTCCATCTTTTTTTCTCTGAAGACTTTTCGGCTGGTTTTTCGTGGGTTTTCCAAGACAGGGAGGAAGTGATAGGGACGGGGAGGGGGAGAGGCACGAAAGATTAAATTGTTTATAAGGGCTTAATGCAGCTACAAATGCTAGAATTACTTGAGAATTGTTAAAACACAATAAAAACATGAAATGGAAGGAGCTGAACAGAGCATGTTAAAATATTTGAAAAAATAATAGCAGCCACATGTGAGTTATCAAATGGTAAGCGGTGTTTCTGCCAAATTGACGTCCACTTCCTTCTTCACCCAGATGTATGTCTCTTACGATGTTTTTGAAATCTCCCGATGGACAAACGCCTGAAATCTAAGCCTGGCAAATTGTTTTACCAATATATGCTAGGCCAAAAAGCTGGCAAAATGGTTCCAACAAAAGCCAAGATGTAATGTGATTTAGATCGTAGCTCAGTTATGTGCTTTTGGAACATCTGGTTAGCTTCTTACTTTAAATCATTATCTGAAGATACTGTCTCATAATGTGTCAAATAATGATTTATGATTTTTTGTTAGAAATGGCGTAAGGAGCAATTACGTCACTATGATGCAATACCCCGCTGCCCTGTTCAACCTTTGGGCACCCTACTGCAGATAAAGTTTTAGAATCTTAGCGATCTCTGAACATTGGAGTATAAAAGCTCTTCTCCTCTTTTCCGGGATACAGAGCCATTCCTAACGACTTAACCTTGTTCTGGGAAGCTTCGGCTCCTCAGAACCTTGCCATCCTTTTTGTATTTTTGCCTTAACTTTACTTCACGTTGTATAACTCTGGTTAATATATATAATCACAAATATATATATATATGCATACATATATATATACATTTAACTAGGAGTTTGACAGGGCTCGCCACTAATCTGACAAGTTAACTTTTGGGGATGCGATAATACATTCTGGGTTAGTTCATTTTGTTTCTCAAGTGAAAGATTTTGTTTCTCAAGTGAAAGACTTTGTTAGTGTACAGTACTCGTGAAAAGCAGAAGTTGTTCATTTAAAGGTATGTACGATTTATTGAAATCCAAATTCAATCTGGCTTTCTGTTAAGGGAGTAATTGTAGGGACAACAATTACAGTCGAAATGCTGTTCGCCAAAAAGAAAGTGATCAACGCTATTTCATTTCATGTATCAAATTCTTTGAAAAGTGGCGCTCAGGTATATTTACTTCAGCTTATTCAGCACATCTTGCCTTTAAATTATTCACGAAGTCAGCGTGGGGCCAATGTTGTTGAGGAGTTGCAATCTTTTCTAATAAAATTAATTCCAGTTCTACTGCCTTCACTCTCTCAACTGCCACCATTCTGGGGGGGAGGGGGGGCAGGGGGGAACACGCGCTGATAAGGCGCTCAAGGGGAAAAGAAGCAAATGTTATAGTTTTACCTGCTTCAAGTTATTGTTTCCTAGTCGGTAAGTTATCTCATTGTGATATAGAATTGCAACAAGGTGGCAAGCTCATCGTATACTGATTGCTACATTTCGAAGCATTTAAAGCGTTGCTAAACCACTTCTTTTTGGAAAATGAGCTGATAATTTTTCCAAAAGACGAAACGAACATCTGGATAACCGCAGGTCGACTCATAAGGTATTACATTATAGTTCAACAGAGTCGCTGGAAAAGTGTCAGTTGCATAACTGGAGAGAAACACCATGAACTGCAGCTGATCAAAGCACGAAAGAAAGTTGTTGTTTGTTGATATTTACACTGCTGAAAGTTTTGGAACGGGGTATTTTACACCATTCAATTTTCAGGTATTTGAAGAAGCACATGTGTCGTTCTCTTCACAAGGTGGCGGGTCTTATTCACCTCGAACGCTGCATTTCAATTATATTCCGGACCGAAATTTTCAGACAGCCAGGTTTGCTCAGCTACCTGACAGCATGAAAAATCGGAAACCTTTGATGTTGTTGAAGCGCAGCTATATACTCAAAGCTGCTATGGCTAGCTAGCCAGTCCTGGGCATTTACTACAGCTGCTTAGGTATCATCCGTTAAACGCGATCACCCATAGTGCTTTATATTTCACAAGCTGGCTCGTGCAAAATACACTCCATTGTTTTCTCAGTTTGCTTTTGAGCAGTGTTATTAAAAATTTCGGCAATTTCCAGTTCATCAGAAACCGAAACAAACTAATAATTGTTGGATTTTTTATTAACCCAGCATGAAAGCATGTGGAGAAGAAGCAGTGTTCTGCATTTTACCTCGCTAAGCTTGGGCAATAAGTTTAGGCAACAACCAGGTACACCTCAGGTGGAAAATTTTAATTGCAACATCAAACACTTTCATTCTTAAGACGACTAATGAGCCGAAACATTCCACTCCATCAAATTTTTTAATATAATTTTATAATTTCATATATTTTTTATATATATCATAATTTATACCTCTGTTTTGGCCAGTAAAATTTTCAAAAAATCTTTCAATTTTGTTTCTAGCCCAAAGTAACTTTGACAGAAATGAAGTTTGGATTGCCGCATTACACTGAGGAGGATAGGAATACAATGAACGGAGAGTTAGCATTATTTTGGTGTTTCAAGCAGCTGCGCCTCATTCCTAATTATCTTTAAGAAGCTTCACAAGCAGCACGAAAAAGATCGTATCGTGGGCACTAGCCTGCGGCAACAATTTGCCTTCTTACTGCCTCATTTTTTCAGATGGGTGCGAATTCCAGTGCCAAGCCGAGTTGCCAAAGAAATACGGGTTGAACTGAATTTGCCTACTGACGCTGACTGGCTGCTTCTCAGTGAGATTAAATTTGAATTTGGTCAGTTCATAATTTGAATATTACCTAATTGAAATCTTATGCTGTTCAAAAATCTTTGGATTAAGCGAGGACATAGTTTTTGTGGAAATCGCTACCAGTTTTTTTTACTGCCCTACAGACCATCGGAACGGAAGGTAGAACTGTAGTACTCTGCTAATCTATGACGATAATCCCTCCTAACAAAATCCTGCCAGCAATGGTTCTATGCTGATTCTGCTTTGGATATCTCTTTAGTGTTGCACGGATGCCTGATTACGAAGTAGTTAATTCAACGAACATTTATAAATTTGCAGTTAAATAGTTACTAGTAGAAAATTGCAACGCAGCTTCATTTCAGCAAACGAACCTCTTGGTCCGGAAGACAGCGATGAGGAAGAGCTAGATTTCAGCCACATTCAAAACGGCGACACTCTAACGTATTTCGCTATCAACGATACATCCGAAGATGGCATTCGCTGGATCTCCATTGGTCTGTTCTATTTTCTTTCGAAACCGGCACTTTGATTTTAAGCTATTAAAAAGCAGAGAAAAGCTGCCAGAATAAAACTCGCCAAAGCGCTGCTTCGGTAACAAAATCGACTTTAATACCTTGATAAGCTGGTATCTCACTTTCAAACTGCTGGTAAATCCTCTCCATTTTGCTTTATTCCGAGCTTGTCTCATCCACATAACCTGATATAAGTAATATATTTAGGTAAAACTTTCCATTTCAATTACAGTCAGCTTATTGCAGCTGTGGTTGGATCATTAATTATTTTGTTTGGTGCACTAATGCTTCTGCTCCTACTGTTGTGGGTATACCGACGAACTTTTTCACGAAAAACGCGTTTCATTATGATGAAGAAAAAGCCAAAGGAGGTACAACTAAGCGTCGAAGGGCCCACCATCAAGGCTTGTTCTTTTATTCGATGCATTCCTGGAAAGCCAAAACGTATTATGACGACATCATGTGTATTTGCATGCACTCGTAAATTCATATGAGCTCAGTTCTGAGACCTGGCGAGCTACGACGCTGAAACTATCGACCCACAACTTCCAGCTGAGTAATAAATTGAAACCTCAAATTGAACTTATAGCCCCCTCGTGCGCTGATTTATGAATCAAGATCGAAAATAAGGTTAATTTTATTTTTCATCACTTGCTAACTGACAAACGAAATAGGAATTCGAAAGCCTGGAATTACACATAGTGCAAAGTGCCTAGCTCGAAAACACTGTTCAAATTTTTGCTGTATCTTTGTCTTTAGATGTGTTATATTTCGACTGACTACATAACTTAATCCAAGGTATTAAATAATCGAAGAACCGATCAGGGCAGAGGTCTGAAACCAACATGCAGGCTTTACTTTGTCTGCATCAAGAAGATGCCATTAGCTTGCTTGTAGGCAACTTTTGAAAGAGTGTGCCATCGACGACGTTGTCAGTGAGTGGTTTTGCTTTTGGCATTTTTGGCTACTTTCTTAGGCTACTTCCTTAGTGCATCTTCCTTGAGGAAAGCGAATTTTGACAGTAGAAATTAAGTCAAAATGAAATTAGCTTGTAGAATAATTTATAAAAAACAAAAATAAATTGGAATTAAAACTATTAGATGAAACAGTTACATTACTTTGACGTCTTACAAGCACTTGCCCATCCTTTCAATCCGTATCTGCGCGGTATCGCAAAAACGTTTCTTCAGTGCGCGTCATTATGCGTTTTTGCATATATGTAAATGCGAAAACGCATATTGCGATGACCCAGTGTGTGTGTGTGTGTGTGTTTATCTGTCCGGGTATTTCAATTTGACACCTAAACAAGCTCCGGCGCCAAAATCTTGCCAGTGGGTTCCCCAGTTAAGCATCAGCTCAGGACCGCGGTACCAACCTTCACGCAGGTCTGGGCCCCGCGTACGAGAGGGTGAAAGTTTTGGCGGGAAAATCGCTAACTCAGGAACCAGGAAAGCTAGAAAGTTAAAATTTTAAGGTTACGTTCCCCGTCCATATGTAACTCAAAAAATTCAAATTCAGCCTCCAGGTGTGCGTGGTACCCGCGTATGGCCCCGTGAGAGTTCCTGGCACAAAAATCGCTAACTTGGGAACCAGGAGAGCTGGGAGGCTGAAATTTCCACGGAATGTTTCCGGCGCATATATAACTTAAAGTCGTCGAACTCAGGTCCCAGGCATGCGTGGTCGTCACGTGCGGCCCCATGAAATTTTTTGGCAGGAAAATTGCTAACTCTAGAAATGGAGAAGCTGGGAAAGCTGAAATTAGAGCAGAATGTTCCCTGTCCAAATACCGCTTAGACAATTAACTTCCCGAACTTCGAGGATCTATATGTCATAAATCCTAGCTACTAGGTTTTCGAGCGATCTCATGCAGCACGAAATGCTGCAAAAACGCATGTTCGCACGAGCCTGCTCGGTGCTTGTCGCCAATGATTGATTATTTGTTTTAGCTAGAATTTTCAGTTGCGATTTGCATAATTACAAGAAGCTTTAACCTTGTTTTATTATGCGTTTTTGCTGTGCAGCGCTATAGCAGCGCTATAGCGCTGCTACAGCCAGCAAAA